TGGGGGTGGTGGTTGTAGAACTCCTATCCCTAGGACTATGCGTCCCATGCCTTCTGGTAGATGGTGTTCCCTTCTGATTTCTTCCCTGAGAGGTCACTGCCAAAGCATTCTCCACTGCAGTACCTGTGGAGAGAGCCTAAAAGCGGCTACTTACCTCTACAGGAATGGGGGATACCTGAGTTGGTCGTCTTCTCGTTCTAGAGGTTACATGTTGCCAGTTTTCTTCCTTGTCCTGTACTGCCCTCACTGGCTCTTCAGCCTGCCGTGCCTGCAGGATTAAACACTGCCTTCTATCAAGGAAGTCTTCATCCTCTCTGATAGAATGTAGGGTTGATACTTGGGCCTCTAGTCCTCTAATTTTTTCTTCCAAAATGGTGACCAGCTTGCACTTAGTGCAGTTTAAATCCCTTCTTTCTTCTGGGAGAAATACAAACATGGCACATGGTGTGCAGGTAACAACAGCAAAGCTATCACCATCCATGCCTGTCTTCCTTCTGAGAGATTTCTCAGTTGTTATTAAATGCCTCCTTGAAGGGAAGGAGTGTAGTGAGAAGATGTTAAGGAATGGCGAGTGTATCTCACCCCCTTCCCAAACTCCCTCTCCAAACTCCCTGTTAGCCCCTGTTCACAAGCTCCCTGGTCGCTGACTCACTCCTTTATAAAGCCCTAGACTGCTTGATAGCCCCTCCCCCGATTAAGGTAATGAGAAGAGGCTTCTAGATTTCAAACCCTGATTAGAAGCTCACAGCTTCCACCTGCCAGCCACAGCACACACTCTGTGAGGGGGGGAAGAAGGGGGAAGGGAAAGGAGGGAAAAAAAACCAAACAGCCATACACAAGCTCAGCACACAAACACACACACACTACAGACAGCCACTTCCCTCAAGGGTCCTGTATTAGCTTCCTCCTTTATCTGGAGAACTCCCTCTTCAAACTCCCTATTAACAGCTCCTATTCACAAGCTCATAATGCTTCATAATAAACTCCTTCCATCCCCAACTGTTCTGTGTTCTTCTCTACAGAATCATTTTTAAGCTCTTCCACTCACTATTACATTGGGAAATTAGAATAGAGCTTCTCCGTGTTCAAGGGATCTCAGCAAGATGACAGTTTCTTTCTCCAGGAAAGGAGCCAATGCCCAGTGTTAGAGCCTCCTCTTCTGGTCAGTTGGGAGGGAGCATCAGACTTTTACAAATGAAAATGTTAGCTCATTTTTCCCAGCCACAGGGATAATTTGATGGAGTGAAATGGGGGGAAGTCACAGTTGACGACTACTTTTAATTTAATTAGATATAATGCCAAGAGATGTTCATTTTTAGAAGCCTGACATTCAGATTTCAGAAGTGCAGTAAATTTTTTCTCCTTTGGTCTCTTCTTCCCACTAGATTGAAACGAATAGAACAATAATTTAATCTAAAAATATGCTCTCATGAATGAACCAAGTCACAGAAACTTTATCAATCATATGAGGAAAAAGACAAATAAACTTATCAGTGGGAAATGGTTCTGTTAGTAAATTATAATGATGTTAAAATTCCATATCCCTCTTCCTCCTTTACCCCACAAACTGACCTACTTACCAAAACTTGTTAAAATTCCATATCCCTCTTCCTCCTTTACTCCACAAACTGTCCTAATTACCAAAACATCCCATAATCTTAACTTTAAGTGCTAACATGGCCCCCGGTTTCTAGTGTTAACTTAAGGCATAGTTCTGTTTTCCTATGCCAATACTCATCTATTATAATAAATCAATATCAATATGCAGTTAACTAGCTAGAATCTATTTTGAGGAGTGGAACTAAAATTCCTTCAAAGACTAAAGAATGGCAACCCCATCATCCTTCAGAACTAAAATTCCTTCAAAGACTAAAGAATGGCAACCCCATCAGCCTTTTCAGTCCACTTAGCCACAATATTTCCTTTCTTATAAACTTCCATTTATGTAAAATACAATACTGCCAAATGCTATTTGGTTGCTCTTTATTGATTAAAAATGTTTCTCTCTTCTAGAGCTCACACTAATGCCAGCTAATAATTTCTCCCATAGTACCCTTCCCTGTGCTGGAGGTGAGGGGAAGGAGTCTGTTTTTCTGCAGTTCTAGCTCCATCTGATGCTGCCTGTTCCTCCTCCTCCTGTTGTTGTTGTAGTAAATGTTTTGCCTTGATTTTTCCTGCATGCTAGGATGCAATGCTTTCTGAAGGAAAGCATCAATGTAATTGGTGATTCTTATCTGAGAGAAAATTATGCATTTCCTCCTCTTTAAGACTTACATGTAGATGGAAATCCTATTTTTATTTGTTTAATGCTACATGGAAACCTGTAATTGGTAATTGGCCTGTGGTTATTTGCAGACTCTTTTGACGTCAGAATATGATGACTGAAGACTGTAATTAATTACAAATACATTCAGAAAAAATGAACAAAAATATTTGGAAATACACTGTTAAGATCATTAGTTTCCACAGCCTCAATGGCATCACACCAAATTGCCAACATACCAGTGGATAATTAGACTGAGTGCGAGTAACTAATATCCAGTGACAATGATACTGTTCCCCACTCTATAAATTGCAGTCTGAAAGCCAAATTCTGCTCAGGTTTGCATCCTCTGCAACTCTATAGGAGTCAGTGGGGTTGCACATTTGCTATGCCCATATATGACCCTGCAAGCCATTGTAGTCCTGTATGGGCATCATGCCCCCATCGGTCACTGAGAGACTAAGGTTGAGTTGCAGCTTCTTCAAGACCTTTGAAAGGTTTAGCCTTCAACTCCAGTCAAGGGGCATTCTTGGCCTTTGCTGCTGCAGGGGCTATATCCCTTTTTAGATACACTCCCCTGGGATGAGAGTCCTGGCACAGCACTCATTGGTATTCCAATCTTGTTCTTCCAAGCATGTGTGGTTATTAACTGTGGCTGCTATGTACCCCACATGCACAGGAGTATGGGAAAATTGCCCCCTCTACAGCACTGAATCAGGGGCAGTGTAAATTACCTGTAATTCAAGACTCTAGAAATCCAGGATAAATTGCAAGTTAGTATCACATACACATTAATAAATCCACAAATTCCCCTTTTATTCAAATACATTAATCTAGTACCTCATTATACTCTGCAACAGGTACAATGCCTGAAAGTATCTGCTGCTGTCCTGTTTCCTCCAAATCATATAAATAATTGTGAAATATAGTAAAAGGATTTTACAAGAGATTAATCACTTGAAGATTGAAAACTCTTTGGGGACAAGGACCATCTTTTTCTTCTGTGCACCTAGCACAGTTGGATTCAGGTCCATGCCTACAGCTCCTAAGTATTATGATTATATGTATAATAATTATTGTGATTGCTCCTTAATACTCCATTATGAAGTGAGTTGCCAAAACATGAGACAGAAAAGACCTTCCATGAGAGGCTTGAACTATTAAGCTGAAGTATAGACCAGGCTAAAAGATTAAAGCGAATGGCTGTATTGGCACTAGCTTTGATTTAGTAGCAAAATGGGGGCACAAAGAGTTGTGCATTATGAAGATTAAGACATGCTGAACACTGATGTGGATTGACGACTTACGTTTTCCAAACACAAATTGGAAAGCTGTGTACTCAAGAAATACATAGTCTTGTATTTCAAATTAAAGGAAAACAAAGAGACTGCGAAAAATTTAAAATGCCTATGAGAGTGACAACAGAGCATATTTCTTTATAATATTGTTTGTCTTTTATCTTCTTGCATCCCTTCCCTCTAGCAGCCAGAAAATATTCATAAAGAATACTTTTTAAACCCCACAGTATCCTAGTTACTATATACTACAGTGAGTCGAAGATGGAAATATAGTTGGATCTAAAGGTGCATTTCTGCCAGGTACTCTAGGAAATGCTGGTTGCATTCAATTCCCATTGACTTACATGGAGTTACACCAGGGGTCAATTTGTGCTGAAGGGCCACACGGTAATGATCTAGATCACAGCAAGCACCAGCTAAACTCTTTTGAGTATAAGGAAGCAGGTAGAGGCTGTAAGTTGTTGTCTTTTTCCTATTTTATGTACTAATTTTCTTATGATCTGCTGTTTCTTTTTATGGAACATGTTACTGAAAAGTCATTATTTTCTATTTCGGTATTAACCTTATTTCATCTGCATTTTGCAGCATTAGTAGGAAACCATTTATTGAAATATTTAACAAAAAACATAATTTCCTATTTTCCAAGAGGGGTTTTTGAGAGTTAAGATGTACTTCTAATGTGAGGCCCCAGCAGGAGGTCTTACATGTGTTTGAAATTGTGAGTCTCTCACAAAGACACTATTTCATAGTGTCTTAGCTAGAAAAAATATCCAAATCACAGATGTAGGATTATGCATCTAGGGTGCAATTTCATGCTCTATACCTGTTTAACTCCCATTCATTCAAATGGAAATGATGCACATGAATAAAAGAGAAACTATACCTGTTGGTTAATATACCATTTTGAGTTCTTTCAGCCTACTTGCTAACCATATTGCACGGCCTTGTTAGCATGCCCTGGAACTTATGAGAACAATGCAGTGTTTGGGCTTCATTAATTTTGGGACTGTTCGTGAGAAATTGAATAATGTGATTTCAGAAATATTAGGTCTTACATTTCTAGCTAATAACCTAGATTTTTGTACTTGTATATTATTACCTCCAATGGAACCAACCTCAAAGCACTCAGATTTAGTTAATTATTACAGGAATGAATGGAAGATATAGTCTATCAAATAATATCTATATCTTCAGCTAATAACAGAAGTTCTTTTGACAGTACATTTTAATGTGTATGTTTCAGCTAAAAAAATGCCTTATTGAGAGAAGATTAACTGAATATTCTGCTTTATTGAAAAGTTGGTTACCTCAGCCACTAATCTCTTTGTCTCAAGTGTATGGATATATGCAGGAAGCTATAGCTATAGATCTGTTCTTTTTGCATGTGTTCTATGATTGCTCTTTTTTTCTTTTCTTGGCCTGCATGTTTGCTACTACAGGACCCTGCTTTGGAAATCAATGGCAACAGAACCACCATCAGTCCTCTAACTAGCACAGCGACTGGCCATGTGGGTAGTATTTTAACCACCAATGGAACGTTTTCAGGCTTCCTCAGCAAGCAAGAGATCAGCTGTTCAAATAGCTCTTCCTTCTTAAAGACAACTGCAGTTAGTACTTCCATGGCCTCCCTGTCTGTGACACCTGACATTTCACCTGCAAAGAGTAACCTAGGTTCAAAACTAAGCCCTGTGTTCACTGATGCCATTAGTCCTAAACATCAGCTGAGCCCTGCAAGGCAATATAACAACCCCATTGGTCTTTACTCAGCAGAGACTCTAAAGGAAATGGCTGAGATGCATAAATTAAGTCTCAAGCGAAGGGCTTCAGAAGGTGGACTTCCTAGAGGGTAGGTAATGCGGTACTGTATTCAATGTTTCAGTAAGTAAGTAATTAGCTGAAGAATGAAGTAAAATACAAGTTACTGTACTGTGAATTTGTCTTATAATTATCATTAATGATGTCCGGAAAAATAGTCATTAAACCTTTTCCCACCTCAAAAAGGACACATGATACTATTTCATAATAACTCTTGGTCTTTGGTGTCCTGAATTGTATTACATATTGGATACTGGGTACCCTGGCATGAGGAGGAACACAGTGGCTAAGGTATCTGACTCTAGTAACATGTTAGTATTCTCCAGTTGAATTCACTATATTTCATCTGATTGACCTGAATATCAGCCAAAGGCCTGTATGGAAGTTACTGTAAAGGGAATCTGAAACTACATTTTCCTGAAGAGAAATTGCATGTAACCACTATGATAGCAGTCTTAATATTCTTCATTGAACTTCTATAACTCCTTCCTTAATATAAAAACAATGAGGCGTCCTGTGGCACCTAAGACACTAAGGGTGCATTTACACAGCACCCTAAACTTGAAATAAGATACGCAATTTGCGCTATGCAAATTGAATATCTTATTTTGAATCTATTTTGAAATTTAAATTTGGCATGTCTACACAGTGCCAAATTTCAAAATAAGTCACTTATTTCGAGCAATCCCTTATCCCTCGTGCAACGAGGTTTATTGGGATGGTGAAATAGCACACCCATTATTTCGAAAAATATTTTGAAATAACGGGTGGCTTGTGTAGGCACAGAGTAGCCATGCAGTGTAGACGTACCCTAACATTTATTAGGGCATAAGGTAAAACCCATTTCATCAGATGAATTGGGGTAAAAATTACAGAGGCAAGTGATTATGTATATAAGGGAAGTGTATGTATACACCCCCCCCTTTATTTATATATAATATAATATAAAAATATGAACAACAAAAAGAAAGAAAACTACTTGTCAAATGTAGGCCCAGTGTTAATGAGGACGGATGTGGCTCATTCACAGCAGTTGATGGGAAGAGGTGAATATCAAAAGATGGGAAATTGCCTTTAACAACTTTAGATCCTTATTCAACCCTAAATTGATTGTATTGAATTTGCAAATGAAATGCAATTCAGCTGTCTCTTTGTAATCAGGTTTTGAAGCTCAGTTGTAGATGGATGGTTATTTTAATTCTGTTACTGAATATCCAGGAAGGTTAATGTAGTAACTTTTCAGTGCAAGTTGAGATTGACTTGTGATTAGTTCAGTCCTTTGCCTTGAATGCCATCCAGCTCAAATCTAAATTCTGTAAACTTTATTATCCACTTATTTCTTTCCAGACACAATAGTTATTATCCACCTGGTAGAATACAGAGATAATCCTATTGTTTTTTACTTGAAACTATGAAGGTTAATTTGTAGAGCAGGTATTTTTGCTGCAAGTGGGTGATGCATGTAGCTTGGACTACATTACTGAAATGTTGAATGATGGCCATGGGAAATCAGTAGTTGCTTTCTAATCTTTCTACTTTTATTTATGATTTATTAATTTAGAAACAAATTCTGCAAGTCAGTTACCCTGAAGCTGTCTTTATCTGAAATGAAGTTGTTTCCCAATATTTTAGGAAAAAGAAGGAATTTTCAAAGAGATCACTTATCTTAGCTATTTATCTTAATAAATCCCATGTCTTTCTGTTTCAATACTTAAGGTCTGATTAAGGAAGAGAATATTTCAAATAACAATGCAGAAGTGTAGTACAGAAAGACAAAGAGAGAACTTCCCTAAGACACAATTTTAGTCACCAAGTTTCATTTGGCTCAATATAACATACAGGTTGGGAGCAAGAGGAGAAAAATACATCAGGAGTCTGATTCTCACTTACATGAGAGAAAAGTGAATGTAAAATGCTATTATGAGTTGATAGTGTTTTATACCTAGTATGCATGCAGTTAGTATTGACTACACAAGATGCAAGAGTATGTCTACACTGCCACCGTAGTTCGAACTAGGGTGGCTAATGTAGGCATTTGAAGTTGCAAATGAAGCCCGGGATTTAAATATCCCAGGCTTCATTTGCATCTTGCCGGGTGCCGCCATTTTTAAATCCCCGTTAGTGCGGACTCCGTGTTCCACGAGGAGCAATGGTAGTTCGAATTAGAGAGCCTAATTCAAACTACCTACTCCGTGCCCGCGGCTGTCACGTGGGCACGGAGTCCGCACTAACGGGGATTTAAAAATGGCGGCGCCCGGCAAGATGCAAATGAAGCCCGGGATATTTAAATCCCGGGTTTCATTTGCAACTTCGAATGCCTACATTAGCCACCCTAGTTCGAACTAGGGTGGCAGTGTAGACATACCCCAAGACAGTGAGGAATCAGGCCTTAATGCTGTAAACTCAAAAATTCCCTTGAAATTTGGTTATAAGTGGTTGCATTTAAAGAAAATGTCAACAAAAACAGACCCAAAAAAGCTTTTGTTTTAATTTACATTTTTCACCTGCAAAAATATCATGTATTTTCCTGCTTTAGTTCTGAAAGCTCCTTGCTAGCACATCTTACCTCCCTTGTCTTGGCCTCCTCTTGTCCCTTGTTAACCTTTCTCCTTATATTTTACTTCAGGTAAATTTGAACAATTGAACTGCCCGAGTATTCCTAGTATGTACAGTTACAAAAAATATATACTATTAGGGCTGCATCTGCCATTCAGTGATGTCAGTGATTTTAATAGGTGTTGTATCAGGCCACATAATAGAATCCTTGAGGAAGCAAACAAATTATGGCCACTGAAACTGCTCCACAGTAATCCCTCTACCTCATAGCAGTCTTTTCTATCTGTCCAACTTCCTCCCATGTACATGCACAAGTGCACACACAAAATAATTTAAGCTCCTTTTTTGTGCCCATCTGTAGCCTGTTAGACATAGCGTAAGCAGGCTTGGAGAAATTCAATTTTTATTTTTTTTCTAATTTGTGTGAGTAATATTGACATTTATTTTAAGCATTTTTTTCACTGTGGTGCAAAATTATGGGGGGTTGTCAGATAATTATTTAATGACAGTAGGCACTGAATTTCAAAAAATTAAAGCATAACCATTAAAATGTAAATGATCAATATCATATATGTAAAGGAAGTATTCTTAAATCCAACATTAATATGTTCTCAAGCAGCTTTTTTCTTTCTCACATAATCATACCTTGTGAAATTCTCTCAGCCCAAAGGAAGGTTGAATTAACACAGGCTGGAATAAAAAATAACCATATCTGAGACTTGTTCTCAATCTGTGTCAATGTTTCCTTTTGTAGAATCTTTACCCATTAAGATCTGCTGCTGATATTGTAATAGGCACACCTGCAAAAAATTTCACTCTTGCCCTGTGATAAGCCCTTAATTCCAGAAATGCATAAAATGAGTAAGGGACTGCGGACTCAGTAAGGGTATGTCTACACTACCCTCCTAGTTCGAACTAGGAGGGTAGTGTAGACATACCCTTACTGAGTCCGCAGTCCCTTACTCATTTTATGCATTTCTGGAATTAAGGGCTTATCACAGGGCAAGAGTGAAATTTTTTGCAGGTGTGCCTATTACAATATCAGCAGCAGATCTTAATGGGTAAAGATTCTACAAAAGGAAACATTGACACAGATTGAGAACAAGTCTCAGATATGGTTATTTTTTATTCCAGCCTGTGTTATTCTGCACGTCTTTGGCTAGGGTAGTAAATACCTGCCCCACATGTTTTTGTGTGTCAGGAGGGTAGTATTACTGGCTTGTTACTCTATGGCATCTTTGAGTGAGTGGGTTGTGTATTTCAGTACCTACCCATATTTAGAAATAAACTAAAATGATTGTGGATCTGAGCTGGAGAAAATGTTATCTCAATCCAGCATGTGAAGAGAAGCTAAGCTTTGCTGTAGCTATAGGGATCTGTGATAATCTGTTTAGCTCTGAAAAATCTTTGCTGCAATTTGAGGCTGTTGATCGCTTTTTAGAAGACCGATGCTGCATGTGAAGTATTTTTCTTTCTATGAAATGTATAGTTTACATGTGCATGTTCTTCATATTCTAACATCAAAGAATTGGTTGTTCTCTCTTTTAAGGGGTATTTTACAAACTCCATTTCTACCTTTAAAATACTGTTTTTTTATGCATGGGCATGGTGGAGAGGGTTAGAATAGCTGCAAGAGTTCACTTCAGAAAATGATACTATTACACCATGTTTCACTGTAAGTGGTTGCTCAGCTGTCTTGCACATACCTAAAATGGATGTAGAATCAGTGATCTGCTTACAGGTTACAACTTGTTCCTAATATATCTCTACTGATTCCCGTAAAAGACAGATATATTTGGCTCACTGCAGAGTTTACAGAGCTGGCAGAATATTCTCGAACCTGAGAATCTGAGGGGCAGAAATGGGGGGGTGGAAAAGGCATTTTGTGGCTTTATATCGAGGTAAAGGCAACGGCATATAGCCCTATGTGCACAGCTTTGGATTGCTGCATTGGTGTTTGTTAATTAAAAATAAATTTGGTTGACACAGCTGTAGAAAAGCCTTATGTGAAGAAGCCCCTCCAAAGAGTTACTGCCATGACAGCAGAGGGAGCACACTTGTGGGTCAACTGAGTGGTAATTCAAATCCACTCATAATGTTGCAAAAGTAACTGGAAAGATGGTGATGCCCAAATATATCAAAAGTGTCTTATGCGTCCATCTAAGAAATACAGACAATGTCCGAGGAACAAGCATCAGGCTTGCAAACACTCACGCACACAAATGAAAGCTCCCCTGCAACCTCAGGGAATCAGGCAAGTGTTGAAGGTGGGCAAGTGGCCCGAGTGCTGGTCAAAGGACTCAGGAGGGGCAGGAGTGGCCTCAAAGCAGAAGCTAGAGAGAAGGAGCATTTCAAAGGGGAAAGCACTGCATAACTGCCCCCTGCTCCTCCAGTCATGCAGGCCATCCTCGTACCGTTTACTGCCTCCAGGTGAGCAGCCTGTGGGGGATGGGGGCAGAGGCAGGGAGGAATGGC